GGCACAGGCCTGGCAGCCTGTGTACGGCTCCCGGTGCCCGAGCATCCCTACGGGGCTCCCGGGGTTGAGCATCCCTATGGTAGTCCCAGGGTTGAGCATCCCTGTGGGGCTCCTGGGGCCGGGCATCCCCGCGGGGGTCCCAGGGTGGAGCATCCCTGTGGCAATCCCAGAGCTGAGCATCCCTACGGCAGTCCCAGGGTTGAGCATCCCTCCGGGGGTCCCAGGGCTGGGCATCCCCATGGGGCTCCCAGGGTTGAGTATCCTTATGGTAGCCCCAGGGTGGAGCGTCCCTGTGGGGCTCCTGAGGCCGGGCATCCCTGTGGTGATCCCAGAGCCGAGCATCTCCATGGGGGTCCCAGGGTCGAGCATTCCTGTGGCAATCCCAGAGCTGAGCATCCCTACAGCAGTCCCAGGGTTGAGCGTCCCTCCGGGGGTCCCAGGGTCAAGCATCCCTGCAGCAGTCCTGGGGCTGAGCATCCCTGTGGCGGTCCCAGAGCGGAGCATCCCTGTGGCACGCAGGGTGCTGGGCGCACATGCACTCGTTGCCTGGAGCCATCACCCATTCCTGACATCCTCTTCCCACCCCATTCCCATATCGGCTGTTGGGGACCTGCTCAGCCTGTGCCTGCCGGACGGCTGGAGGTGCTTCCAGGCCAAGATCAAAACACATTTTAACCTTCTCCTTCTGCTAAAATAAGTGGAGCTTTTTAAATCCCAAACCTGGCATCTAACTCTGCTTCTTGCTCTCGTTCTCTTGGCACCATCGTTGAACCTTCCCGCATCCCTCCTGCGCAGAGCATCGCTCCGTGCCGTCACCCCGCCGCTCCGGGCTGGCTGGGGAGGGGGGCATGTCACCCCTTGGTCCCACAGTGGGGCCTGATCCTGCCTGCTTCCCGCTCTGCAGAGCGAGGCGATAACATCGCCTGCGGGTGATTCATTAGCTACCGCTCCCCAAGCGCTGGGAAGATGCAAAGCCTTGTAATCGTTATTAATTACCAACCCAGGGAATCGGGCTGGTCTCTGGTGTGTTAATGAGACTGCGCTCTTCGATCGGTGCCGGAGGGCTCCTTACGACCCGCAAAGGGACGGACAGCAAGCACGGGGACAAGCACCACCAGTCAAGGGGTTAATTTAAGGGGGGGGTGGGTGGTTTTTTTTTCCCCTGGAACCCCTTAAACAGGAGCTGAAGGACAAGATGACGGAGCTGCTGCCTCTGCTGCCCGTCCTGGATCAGTACAAGTCGGACACGCGGCTGATCGTGCACCTGAAGGAGGAGGTGAGGAACCTCTCCGGCAACTTGCTGGCCATCCAGGAGGAGATGGGTGCCTACGACTACGAGGAGCTGCAGCAGCGGGTGCTGATGCTGGAGGCACGGCTGCACGCCTGCATGCAAAAACTGGGTACGGTCCCGTCCTC